TTCAATATGGGTCCGAAGATTGGTCCACGACCCAAATGTTTTGTCACAATGGCGACACTGAGGGAGGCCAGCAAGAGCGTCTCGTTGTAGCCTGAATGGAACTAGTCTGGCATGACTTCTACCATGGGCCGTTTGTTCATGACGAGCCAGGGTAGCAGCACTCGGGAAGTCACCAAGGCAGGTACGACACTGGAAGCGCAAGGTCAATGGTGGTGAGTACGCCTGAGATGAGATCCACTGGTCCAGCTGAAGCAGCAAGTTTGCAGGTTCGTGAAACTGAATCTGATGTAAAATATCTGTGGAGTCAAGCGTGTGGAGACGTGCTTCCCTGCCTTCCAAAGTGCGGACACAAACCCGTCGGAGAAAAACAGCAGGTGGAGTAATCTGATGTATGGCATGAAAGTCAGCATGTGTACGATGTGTTTCATGTGAGTGATCATGCATGAACATCCTCTGCTGCAACGTAAGTTGAGAAATGAGCTGTCTGAGCCCTGCTGCACTGCATCCAACCACATGTAGATTGTACAAAGTGGTTGTCCGAACCACTGAACTCCACAATGATTCTTTCTGCCTGGAGGTGAGTCCCTTTTTTGAACAGAACCATGTTCGAAGTCGACGGAACGCACGGAGCCCACACTGTAGTCGATGTTGGAGTGAACTGCTCTGCATTGTTTTGTAAGACAGCTTGATCCCCAAATACGGAACAACAGTGTGGAGAGCAACCAGAGCAGGCCCCATACCAGTGCGTGGAAAACAAAGATGCCAGCCTTGACTGGTTCGTTTGAGATGCCTGGCTTGTGCTTTCCTCTGCGCAATCCCCTGTAGTGTGACCATGGAAAAACATTTCTGAATGTTGATCTGAAGGTGGAAATCTTTCAGGATGTCCAGAAGTATCCCACAATTAGTAGTAAATTCGTTCAGATCATCCAAGGAAAAGAGGGTCTGATGCACCAAGAAGTCATCTGCATAGATGGTGATGTTCCAGGTGACCCAATTCCATGATGTGCACTCAGCCAGTTTGTTCAGAATGAGCGTCGTGAGACAGCACCAGAGGAAAGGAGCAGCCTTGCAGCCCTGACGGACCCCTCTGTACACTGGGACGGATGCGGAGAAGCCTTTGTGACTATGTCGTAGTGAGTCCCTCTATGCCATTCATATAACAGGTGTAAGCAATCAGGTCGTACCCCAAGAGCAGCCATACCCTGAAACAGGTGGCTTCTGGAAACACTGTCAAAAGCTTTACTCAAGTCCAAGCTGAGAAGAGCACCACCTACAAGAGAGTGCCTGACCATTCCAGTTGCTTGCTTCTCCACAGGTCGTTGTGCATGCCGCGCTAGTTGTGCCACCAGCAAGCAACGCTGCGTGGCTCTTGCAATAGCATCAGCTGTACCCCGAAACGGAAGGTATGCCAGTTGAGGCGTCGAACTGATTAGGGGAAGCACCGAGTGTCTTGCTTTCTCGCTAACAAGTCCAAGCACCACCTTACCAAACACGTCCTGGAGTGCTAAGGGCCTAAGATTCTTAGCATCATTAGGGGGTTTACCAGGTTTGGGAAGTAAGAACAGGTGACCATTTTTCCACTCAACCGGGACAAACGGGGTAGGTTGATTCCACCATTGCATGAGAAGGGGGAACAGCTTCTTAGCACACAGAGCTGGGCAGCTCAAGATGCTGAGCGATGCACACGTCCCGGGCGCATTGGCTTTCAACGATGCAAGCCTAGCAAAAGCCCTCTCAAGGTCTTCAGCACTGAATGGCACACCTGGGGCCCCCAGTGCCGGAAGCAGTGGGAGTGGAGCGTCATGCCAAGTTGCTTGAACAAAGCATTTGATGTGCGTGAACTCTTCGAGTGGACTGAGAATCTGACCAGTTGCAGAACGAATCTGAATGCGGGCAGTCTTTTCTTTGGGGCTGACCTTCCGAACCAGTTGATGCAGTTTACTTAGATCCTGTCGATCTGCAGCCGCCCGTGCCTCGGACAGGAACTGATCGATACGATTCTGTCGAGCCTGAGTCGAGGCGGTCTTTTGTTCACGATGGAGGCACCGATGTTGGGTGATCCATTTCCAGTACTCGAACACCGAACCGAGACTAAGGCAACGAGGTGTGCGAATCAATCGATATAGCGCCCACTTCCGAGTCGCCAGACAAGTCACCTGCCCAAGATGGCAGAGTCTATCGGCCGTGGTCGAAAAAGAATGAACAAAAATGTCATTAAGGTCTTGGTGAAAGGATCGAAATTGGCCATTTTCGGGCCACTGAGTCCGTGTGAGGTGGGCAGAGGTCCTAGTCTGGAAGTCCGTCCATTCTTTCGTACCCTGGGACCTAGCAAGGCGGCCTCGTGTTCGATGTGCATAACTAATGCTGCTCAGGGCAGCACTGGACCAAGGCTTCCAAGTCAATGACAGTGAGCCAATCAGGGGATGATGTCCCTGAGTGGAGGTGCCCAACAAGGGACAGCTCGGAATGGGTGCACATTGTTTAGCTTCATGGTCAAGCTGCTTGAGGCGCGTGCAGGCGAAGTCAATCCTAGATCCAAGACCCTTAGGTCCATAGAAGGTGGCTGGGAGAGCCTGGGTCATCGTGTTGAGTGCACATAATCCATGTTGAACAAGTATCTCCAGCAGGCGTGCCTGATCCGTTTGGGCAGGTCCTTCACTGAGGACACCGGCTCGACCTCTGAACTGTGTACTTCCTACGTTGGGTGTGTGCATGGGCAAGCTGGTGTTAAAGTCACCCAACAGAATCAGGTTGTTCCTAGTCGGAAGGGAGGAAAGACAATTATCCAAGGCACGAAAGACGTCAAGTCGGTGTGCAAGGTCTGGGGGTTTATTCTGATAGGTTTTCTGGTAGAAGTTCAGAACATCAAGTGGGCGGTCAAAGTGGATGCGGAGATGCAACAGTCGGCCATCCCAGAGACTTCGCCATGAGATCTGATCCAAACAACACCAGGTCTTCCGAATAGCTAAAAGAACCCCAGTAGATTGTCGGGGAAGCCCCCCAACTGCAACAAAGTGCCAGGTATCGTCTGACCACTCCTTGCTTTCCTGCCAGCGGGTTTCTTGCAGTGCAAGGAGCTGTATGGGTTGTGGTCTGGCCCACAGGAGAATCTCGTCCAGCTTTGCTCGGCTCAAGCCACTGCAATTCCAGCTGAAGAAATGTAGGCGGTTCCTCAAGTCAATGCGTGGCTGGTGAGAGGAAGAAACCAGGGAAGGTGAGGTGGATTCACGTTTCGGTTCAATGCGAGTACCAAGAGCTTTTGCATCGAACAATTTGCCACGAAACCATGCATACCCTTCGATTTGAGCTCTACGAACAGCTCGCTTGAAGCTGCGCTTGTGATTGGAGACCAGTTTATGGTCTTGTCTATTGGGCGTGATGCCATGCAACTTTTTCGTAGCTAGAACATATGTGTGGGGTGTCCAGTCAGTTCGAGCTACTCCCGTGACACTCATGGCCGTGTCACAACCCTCACCTCTACTACGGGTCTTAGTAAATCTAGATCTAGCCGAAGGGATCCGCAGTCCACCGACTTGGGACGGTGGTTCCAGGGACCAAGTGCACAGCAAAAGGATGTGAATCAATCCCGCAACACGAATGTGCATCCAGGGCCGCTGTGATCTGATTCAGGGAGAAATCCACGAACCAGAAAGGTAGCAGCCCCGCTCAGCACAGTTCAGCGCGCACGGCCACCAGGGAGGCCGCTCATGTACGAGCTCCGCGGGAATGAGTCGTCAGAGCAATCCCAAGTGCTCTTGGCTGGAAAGAGGCTTAACAACAACAACAACAACAACAACAACAACAACAACAACAACAACAA